GGTATTTTTTTTTTAAGCTTTTTTCAGAGGTAGCGCTTGTTTTTTTCACATAACTCTAGTATCTTAAGTCTGGTTGTAAAGAACTTTGCTATTTTGAAAAGATAATTGAAACAGCTAGAAGTTGACCAGCCGAACACTTTGTGATTTCAGCTTACCGTCTGGGAAATATAAAGCATTGAAATGCGAAAATGATGATTTTTGTGGGTATTTTTTACGAAATTTTGACTTTAAAAACTCAGGAAAAGTCGAAAAAAAATTATATCTTGTGTCCTCAATTTTTTAGTGTATAGGTGCGTTAATTTGGCGTCGTTTAAGGTATCGCTCATTAAAATCTATGAGGATACTTAGAGCTAAAATTCATTAACCAAACCTAAAATATGGGAAATTTTTTTTTTTTTTTTTTTAAAAAAAAAACACAAAAATATCATTTTTGCATTTCAATGCTTTTTCCCAATTGGCAAGCTGAAATCACAAAGTGTCAGCATCAACTTCTAGGCAATTTTAAAGGGTTGTACATTTGGTACCTTTACAAAAAATCGCGTTCCTTTCTTCCTCAAATTGGCAGTTGGGCCCGCCGCCTTCAAAAAGGTATTTTTTGTTCAATTTTTAGCCCCATATCTGTCGGTTTGGTCTGGAAGTCGAATTTTAGCTCCAATAATTTTACATAGGAAAATATACACTTGCAACAAAGTTCAACTTTGACTATTTATATATTCTAGACATTGTAGCAATAAAAATTCGTTCTCTTTCGTAGTGACTAGACGTGTTTTTGTTTTGCGCTCCGCATTTTCCTTTTATTTTGCTTACAAAGCCGGTGTTTTTATCTTTTTGTATCTTTAAATTAACTCTCCTACTAACTTAAATTAAAATAAACTTTTACCGCGGGTGCATGCCTGATAATTGTGTAAAAACACAACTTATTTAATTAATTTTGTGCGTCGGTTAGTCGTGTGTTTGTGTTGTTGCTTTTCCTAAGTACGCCCTCTCATTACATTTAGCCGCTCTTTGTTGTAGTTATTGCCGTCTATCACTCTCTCTATCACCTAACTCTCAATAACTGTTCTTTCGCTCTCGCTCTTGTAACTTTTTGTGCAGTAACGCTCTCACTTATAAGCTGTTGCTGCAACCACTCTCCTCTCTCATTTTTTACCGATTTCGCTTTAAGCATTGCTCTAAGCATTTGCTCTGCACAGTGGTCTGAACGCTATTTGTTTTGAACTTTTTTTCCCGAAGTAAAAAAAAAATAAAAGACATAAATATGGAATTTTCTGTCGTCTGTGCCAAAAAAACCTGCAAGAAGCAGATCACCCATGACCAGCCCAATATCCCTTGCTGGCTTTGCGAAAGCGTAGTGCACGCAAAATGTGTATGGATCTCGGGCCGTGTAGGTGATGCCATTTCCCAAAATAGCGCCCTGCATTATAGTCGTGAGGAATGCCGTGTTGTGGAAAACGACATGCGTTTGTTCATGAGGCAGACGCGGAAAGGCTTCAAAGAGCTGATCGAAGGCTTTAAACAGCAATATGATGGGCTCTTGGCCATGGAGAGTCCATGGACTTGCAAGTGCCGACTGCCTCATGTCCGCCGGCCTCATGTCCGCCGGCAGCCGAAAAACTTACTCCGAGCACTCCCTTAGTGCAACAGTTGATTACGTTTGCTACTCCAAGGGCAACGATCGCTGCTGGAGATGCAGATTCGGGAGCCGAATGCGGCAGGTAGACATGTCTGTAGCGTCTGTGTCCATCGAGTCTGCACCCAACTCCTTAACTATCCCATCAATTTCGCTCCCACCAGCTAATAGATGTCCAGGACCACCGGATACTGCCATCACAGGTACTAGGGCTGTGGTGCCAAAACCACTGGTGGGAGTCCCACCAAAGCGACAAGTTTTTGTCTCGCGGCTAGCCCCTGACCTCACATCCAATGATGTGACCGCTTTTATACAAAGCAAAATAAAAGCCGTCGGCTTAAAGGTGGAAAAATTTAACTTTTCTTACGCCAGGGAGATATCTTCCTTCAAGATAAGCGTCCCCCCAACTCAATTTGAAACCATTTGTTCCGCCAAGTTTTGGCCGGAGCATTTGGTTGTTAAAGAGTTTAAGGCTAAGAAAAAGATTAGGCCCCCCATTACTCTTCCTAGTATTCAGACCAGTGCTCCATCTCCATCCTCATCTTCCACCTCTACTTCCACCCATCCAAAAAACTAACTTCCTCTCTTGTAGTTACCTACCAGAAGGCTAGAGGCTTGCGTAGTAAGCTCAGCACTCTTTTCCTTGAGAGTCTCGCATTCCCGTCCCACGTTATTGTGTTTACCGAGACCTGGTTAAATATACGAGCATCACCTGTCCGCTTTAAAAACTGTTTCTTCCTCGCTATCAGATAAAGACCATATGATAGTTCTTTGTGATTTCAATTTGCCAGGTACTGTTTGGTCTTCGGTAAACGAGTCTAATAATCTTGTGCCCATGTCACGACATGCCTTTATCGACGGCTTAGACCTATCCCTGTCTCAAGTCAACCATGTCAAAAATTCCTTGGGTCGATTGCTTGATCTGTGCTTTGTCTCGGATCCGACCATTGTGCACTGACGTTATGAAAGTCACAAACATTTTTAACAATGTAATTGACACATTTTTAGATTCTTGTGTCCCACTTTCTTGTCCGGTTAGATCTGGGAAGCCTCCTTGGCTTACCAAAGAGTTATCCAGTATAAAAAACTTAAGATCAAGACTTTTTAAAAAATTTCGAGAAGTTGGTTCTCTCTCTTCTCTTTCTCGCTATGTAATAGCTCGGTCAAATTTCTCCGTTCTTAACGCACAATGCTATAAAAACTACCTAACTAACTATGCAGGATACGATTTTCAGAGGACCCTAAACAGTTTTACAGCTTCATAAATAGTAAGCGTAGAACGTCCGCATATCCATCCTCGCTATCATTTCTCAATATGTCAGCAAACAATGATCAGGCAATTGCCGATCTTTTTGCCAAATTTTTCCAAACAACCTATTCTGATGAAAGCTACTCTGGTCAGTCGTATCCATACAGTTTACCAAGGTCGAATGGTATTTTCAGCCCCTTGTTAAATGAAAGCTCACTGCTTCATGATCTTTGACTAGTTAAGCCGGTGTTTTCACCAGGTCCCGAAGGAGTTCCCGGCTGTGTACTCAGGTACTGTGCCGACGCTCTGTGTGGACCCCTGCTGAAACTATTCACCCTATCCATTAACTCTTCATGTTTCCCCCCCATCTGGAAGAAATCTTTTATTATTCCGCTCCATATGAAAGGTAGCAAGTCTGATGAAAATAATTATAGAGGTATATCTAAGTTATCCGCTATTCCTAAAATATTAAAAAAAAATTTAACTCCGCATTTGCAACATCTCTGCAAATAACTTATATCTCCGTCTCAGCACGGATTTATAAGGCGACAACAAATTTTTTAGGGTTTACCACTTTTACATTAAAGGCTTTCAAGGTAACTTGCAGACGGATGTCATTTACACTGCAAAGCATTCGATTCTGTAAACCATTCCCTCCTAGCACAAAAACTTGAACTTTTTGGGTTTCCGCCTAATCTTTTGAGATGGATTTCTAGCTACCTTCGTTCTAGGTCTCAAAGAGTCCTCTTCAAAAACTCCTTCTCTTCACCTGTTAAGGTTACTTCTGGAGTACCACAGGGCAGCCATCTAGGCCCCCTACTATTCACACTCTTTATTAATGACCTGCCTTTAGTATTAACAAAGTCTAGAGTACTCATGTATGCGGATGATGTTAAACTCTGTGTCCAGGATAAGGACATTTCATTTTACTCTCGCTTGCAATCCGATCTCAATACATTTCAGTCATGGTGTTGTGCAAATATGTTACACCTAAATGCCTCGAAATGCAATGTAATGACATTTCATCGCTCCAGCCCCTTTTTGGCTCCTTATAGCGTATGCGGTGGTTCTCTTGAGAGAATTACCTTGGTTGATGATCTTGGTGTTAAGCTAGACCCAAAGTTGAAGTTTTCTGAACACATATCTACCATGGTAAATAAGGCCATGGGAGTGCTTGGGTTTATAAAGGGGTGGTCAAAGGAATTTGACGACTCCTATATAACGAAGACTCTCTATATCTCGCTTGTTCGTCCGATTTTAGTTCGTCCCCCAGAACAAAATACACCAGGACCGTATAGAATCAGTCCAGAAAAACTTTTTACTTTTTGCTCTGCGTGGCCTTAACTGGGATGCAGGTGGGAGACTGCCATATTACCCCGTAGATTGCTTTTAATAAACCTTCCAACCTTAGTTAGTCGTAGAAAAATGCTTGAGGTGATTTTTATGCACGACCTGATCAAGGGTGACGTAGATAGCCCTGACTTGTTGAGCCGCATAAACTTTACGATTCCTGTTAGAGCTACTAGAAACTTTATTCCTTTGTTCCAGGCTTCGGCTTGGTGTCGCATGGTCCACTTGATGGTGCAGTCATTGCATATCAACGTCCAGACATAAAAACAAACACTCTTGCAGACTACATTTTGAAATTTTTTTCTTTCAAACGCATATCACTTCAAAAAATATCTCGATTCGTTCGGAAAGTATTAATATAGCAAGCTGCACATATTAGTTTTTTAGAATGTCAAAAATGATTATAACCACATGTAAGATACCGTAGTTCTTTTACACAACATTAAAGCCCCTAAGTCCATCAGAAAAAGTCGGTTTGGTTCGAAGCATAATACAAATTTAAGTTTTGTCGAGTAGTGGAATTGATCCGTGTAATGTAACTTACAGACACAAACAATGTGTTTGTATAGTCTTTGATTATAGCCTGGTTATACTATCCTCACATGAAAATTTGCGGATTATGTTGGTTCCACTAGAATTTAAGTTAAAAAATTTTAAAATGGTTCACCGAATTAACGTCATCCGGCCTAGTTATATTACTTATATTTATCTGATAGAAATCCACTTTTATACAAACACGTGACTTAACGTTTAATGAACTGCTCAAAACAGGCGTTCCACAAAGGAATTTATTTATTGGACTACTTATGTGGTGAATTGAATATAAAAGAGAAAGACTACTTCGGCTTGCGATATGTTGATGCGTCGAAACAAAGAGTAAGTATATGTAAATACACATAAATATGTGTGAATAATCTTATTAACTTCTTAATAGCACTGGCTAGACATGGCCAAGACTTTAATAAAGCAAAGTAAGGGTGAGTTATAACATACTAGTTTAAAGTTGTATCTCCATATATTTAATTAATTTGATTTGATTACCAGAACTGGATCCCATTTTATTCTCATTAAGAATAAAATTTTACCCCGCTGATCCATTTCGTCTAACTGGGATCTCTCGAATTATGTTGTATAAGCAATTAAAAAGAGATTTAAGACACGGACGTTTGTACTGCTCCTTTGGTGAAGCTGCCGCGTTGGGTGCTTTAATTGTACAAGGTAAATCATAATTTAAAAGTGTACACACTCCCAATATGTATTAATTATGTTCATATTATTCATATTGTTCATATTATTTAGCATGGGCACAACATTTCTGTCAAAGACAGTTCAGACTGAGACTAAGAACTTATTTATGATGGCAAGGACTTCTTTCCTGGTTTTGTTGAATGGACCGTTTAATTGTATAAGGACTTCTTGATTTTATTACAACGAATTTTCGTTGTTGGTGAAGCCTTTTTAGTGTCTAAGTTTGAAATAAAACGAAAAGGAACGTGGAGTCGCTTCTATCTTGCGAACGAGGTCACTGGGAGGATCGCTCTCCTCGTGAGCCATGTAGGACGACACCAGGTTTTGGTGTGTACCCTGTAGCTCTACGCTAGCCGCCGTGTTGTCGACATTGCTAAAATTGTGGAACAGAAAGGTATTTAGGTGCTTACTTGCCAGAATGTAGGTACGAATTTTACCTTCAGTTTGTGCTACAATCAGCTTGTAGTCCTTCGTCGCTAATCCACAGACCTTGCCTCCTGCCACCCAAGGCTCCTGGACTAGGAATATCTTCGCTCTGCTCGCGACCAAGCGAAGTATTAGAGCAGCGGATGCTTCCTTACAGTGGTGCAGATTTATCTGCAGAAGCCACAGAGACTTCATTAGAACTGTTCTCCTCCACTGTTATGTCGGCGTCGGAGTCGTCGAGAATCTCGTCACGAAAAACCGCCTCAAAGTCGCGCATCAGCTCCGCCTCCGAAGAGTAGCTCTCCTGGGCCGGCTCCAGGTCAACGTAGGGTGCCTCGATCTCCGAGGCAACGTCCTGCTCAACTTGATTGTCGACAGGACGCGCATCGGCTTCTCGGTCCTTTTCGAGAAGCTCGAAGTAGCGGTCAGCCAGTGCCGCTTCCACCCACTTCCAATGTCTTCTGGGTATTTATCCCTATCAGCGTCCTCTCCTTGTCAAACTGCGCGAAGGATACGGTGGGCAGCACTTTGGAGCGCTTTGCAGCCGGTCCAGGCCTCTCTTGCGAGCAGCCACCTTCTGTGGCTCCACACTGTCTTCCTCCAGTCGACAGATGGGCTGGCTTCCGTGCTAGAATTTTGCCGACGGAGTATGTGCCCAGCACTCCTCTTTTCGTCATAGCTGAATCTCTTGGCTTGGATGCTGGTTGATAGCAAGTCATCCCACGCAGCTTCACCTGAAGGTCGGGCAGCCGCAATATTGCTTAGCTGCCACCCCATGGTATCAGTTTTGGGAGGGTACTAGCAGATGAGCGGATCGGGACAAGGCCGCTGCCTTCCCCTGCTTGGGATTGCACCCTGGCTGCCAAGTCCCTTAGCTTTCCGTTCGCGACTTTTTATACCGTGCCAGGTTGACTCTTGGCACGGGTCGAATGACACCTTAGTCCGGCCCGGTGTGAGGGGAATGTTGGGGTTGGGATGTGGGTAGTTATTGTGTAGGGAAGGGAATGTGTGAGCTACTTAATGAGAGGCGGCACCACAAGTGCATCGTCAGTGTTGCTACTTCGTGAACACCCGCTGGCTGTCCAGGACTGCTTATTTCGGTACTCTCCCTCAGAGCCAGCTTAGTTGCTTCTCTTTGGGATGCCCGCTTATTCCCAGCTGACCCAATACCAATACCCACTGGGGTAGGTCGTTCGGTATCCGCAACCTGCGACCCGTCCGGTGGCCACAGCTAGGCTCCCTCAGAGCCATCTTGAAGCCCAATAGGATCATTAGAAAATTGAAGGTATATATTAATTTTTTTTAAATACAGTCTGTAGTCTGCGTGTATATTGTATTAGAAAATCGTGATATAAAATTTCAACCAAACGTAATTCTGTCAAGAAACTCTTCTCTGACTTTCGTGGATTGCAACTTGTGAAATTCTCCTAAATTCAACTCCAATCTTTTTATACCCGTACTCAAAAAATAGTTAAGGGGTATATTAGATTTGTGGTAAAAGTGGATGTGTGCAACGCAGAGAAGGAAACGTTTCCGACCCCATAAAGTATATATATTCTTGATCAGCATCAATAGCCGAGTCGATATAGCCATGTCCGTCTGTCCGTCCGTCCGTCTTGATGAGCGCCTGGATCTCAGAGACTATAAAAGCTAGAGCAACCAGACTCATGTGATATCACACTGCTACAAGTGTATTTCAAAATTTCGCCCCGCCCCCTTCCGCCCCCACAAAAGACGAAAATCTGTGGCAGGCACAATTTTAAAGATACGATAAAACTAAAAACGCAGTATGGTAGAGAATGACCATATCTATCAGATTAGCGATTCTGAATCAGATCGGATCATAATTATAGCCAGAATGAAAAATTAATTTTCTGTTGCTTCCTCTGCCTCCCCCTGCCAACGACCAAGTAACTAATTTTCCTTCTCGCTCGCACACTCTACCGCGTTCAGTGCGCGAGCAAGCCCTAGCGGAGGAATAGAATATGTAGAATATGAATGGTACATCTATAATCTACATGTTAGATGTAAAATATACATTGTAGATGTAGATAACAGATGTAGCAAATAAATGTATGTTGTACAATTTTTTTTTAATTCTAAAATTCTAAAAAATCATAAGTTAAAAAATTTATATGCTGACTGAGTACGGGTATAAGTAGAGTCGCGTCGCTAGAAGCGACTCACACGTTCCTTCTCGTTTTTTTTGTTAATGTAGTTAAATGTCTTTGTAATATTGTAGTTAAAGCATAGCATCCAGCAACGCGGAATCAAAAAATTCCTGTCAAACTTCATATAAAAAAAACCTGTGGCAGGAATTTTTCGTTTACGTTTTCCTGGAGTGTGTATTCAGCAACTGACCGGAATACACAGATTTATATCGATAGTTGCCAATCGGCACCGTGTGTGGACTGCGAGAACAGCTGAGGCACAGCTCAGGAATATATACTTTACAATTCTTCCTGGAGTGAATGGTGCATGATGTAGGCAAAAACTGTTCGCAAAACCAAAAAGAGAGATTCATTTTTTCTTTTTTGTTTTGCAACAATATATGCCGTAAACAACACAATCACTTCATCATCAAAGTGCATTTTTTTTCCTTTTTTAATTTCAGTTGAGTTTCAACATTTGGCTCTGTTTACAAAACACAGCTGATTCATCAACCCTGTTTTAGCTATGTTCCACACCCTCACGAAATAACTAGCAAATTCCTGGCAGGAATTGTCCGCGGTGCTGGAGACAGGCCTTAATACCGCAATAACTCGAGATTTTTAACAACAGACCGTTTTAAAAATGTAATCCAAACTCAGAATAATTGAAATGAAATTATTTATTTATATATTTACTGTCATCAAGATTTTTATGCAGCATACTCGTATTAACTCGAGTTAATTAGATTTGTGGTAAAAGTGGATATGTGCAATCGTTTCCGACCCCATAAAGTACATATATTCTTGATCAGCATCAATAGCCGAGTCGATATAGCCATGTCTGTCTGTCCGTCTTGTTTGTCGCCTATATCTCAGAGACTATAAGAGCTAGAGCAACCAAATTTTGTGTGCAGATTTCTGCGATATCACACCCAATCAAGATTGGTACAAAATTTTTTCACACACCCTACCGCACCTTTTGACTGTCATGGACGTTACACTTTTTCATTAAGCCAAATTATGTGAATAAAAATATGCATGTACATCATGTACATTCTTCATGTGTACATCGTACATATATAAAAATCTTTTTATACCCGTACTCAAAAAGAGTTAAGGGGTTTATAATAGATTTGTGGTAAAAGTCGATGTATGTAACGTAGAGAAGGAAACGTTGCCGACCCAATTAAGTACATATATTCTTGATCAGCATCAATAGTCGATATAGCCATGTCTGTCTGTCCGTCTTAATGAGCTCCTAGTTCTCAGAGACTATAAGAGCTGCTACAAGTGTATTTCAAAATTTCACCCCGCCCCCTTCCGCCACCACAAAGGACGAAAATAGGTGGCACCCACACAAAAGAAAAGAAACCATTAAAGTAAAAACGGAGTATCGTAGAGAACCATATCTACTAAATTGTTGAATCTGGATCAGATCGAATCATTATTATAGCCAAAATAAAGAAACTAATGTTCAGTTGCTTCCCCCCACCTCATCCAGCACGAGATCTCTCTACTCATTCTCTTTCTCGCTCGCACACTCTGCCTCGTTCTGTGCGCGAGCGCCCTCTAGCGGAGGAGATGTAGAATCTAAATGGGACATGTATAATCTGCATTTGAGATGTAGAATATATATTGTAGATGTAGATACCAGATGTAGCCAACAAATTTAATATTTCAATTTTTTTTTAGTTCTAGAATTCTAAAAAATCATAAGGTCAAAATCATAAGGCTATAAGTAGAGTCGCGTCCCCAGAAGCGACTCACACGTTCCTTCTCGTTTTTTTTGTTAATGTAGTTAAATGTCTTTGTAATATTGTAGTTAAAGCATAGCATCCAGCAACGCGGAATCAAAAAATTCCTGTCAAACTTCATATAAAAAAAACCTGTGGCAGGAATTTTTCGTTTACGTTTTCCTGGAGTGTGTATTCAGCAACTGACCGGAATACACAGATTTATATCGATAGTTGCCAATCGGCACCGTGTGTGGACTGCGAGAACAGCTGAGGCACAGCTCAGGAATATATACTTTACAATTCTTCCTGGAGTGAATGGTGCATGATGTAGGCAAAAACTGTTCGCAAAACCAAAAAGAGAGATTCATTTTTTCTTTTTTGTTTTGCAACAATATATGCCGTAAACAACACAATCACTTCATCATCAAAGTGCATTTTTTTTCCTTTTTTAATTTCAGTTGAGTTTCAACATTTGGCTCTGTTTACAAAACACAGCTGATTCATCAACCCTGTTTTAGCTATGTTCCACACCCTCACGAAATAACTAGCAAATTCCTGGCAGGAATTGTCCGCGGTGCTGGAGACAGGCCTTAATACCGCAATAACTCGAGATTTTTAACAACAGACCGTTTTAAAAATGTAATCCAAACTCAGAATA